TTATGAATTTTTTTTTTATGTTTATTTATTTTTGAGACAGAGAGAGACAGAGCATGAACAGGGAAGGAGCAGAGAGAGAGAGGGAGACACAGAATCGGAAGCAGGCTCCAGGCTCTGAGCTGTCAGCACAGAGCCCGACGCGGGGCTCGAACTCATGGACCATGAGATCTTGACCTGAGCCAAAGTCGGACGCTTAACCGACTGAGCCACCCAGGCGCCCCATTATGAATTTTTTTAATGTTTGTTTATTTTTGAGAGAGAGGGTGTGGAGGAAGGTCGGGGCCAGGTGCGGGGAGGGGACAGAGGATCCAAAGCGGGCTTCGCATTGACAGCAGCGAGCCTGATGTGAGGCTCTAACTCATGAACTGTGAGATCATGACCTGAGCTGAAGTTGGACACACTCAACTGACTGAGCCACCCAGGCACCCCTGTAACTATTCTGATCTTAATCTGCCTTTTTTTGTACTTAACCAAATTGCCTCTTTGCCTCATTGGTGAATTCCAGTTAATGTGACAGATGTCTATGAATCTGACAGGGTGGGTTGCAGTGGAGGAGGAAGAAGAAAGGAACATTTGTTTGGTGTCACATATATTCTAAGATAGGAGAGTGAAAATACTAGTATTATCTAATACTAGTATTTCTGCACATCTGAAGGGTGGCTGATTTTTGTTCTTAAGATTTTATTTTTTAAGTCATCTCTACACCCAAGGTGGGGCTCGAAACTGATAACCCCAAAATCAAAAGTTGCATGCTCTATGGACTAAGCCAGCCAGGCACCCCAGGGTAGCTTTTTTTTTGCTTGTTTTCAATCTTCTTATGACAGTATGGCATAATACGTTGTGTACCTCCCTGTGTTGAGAAACAGTTTAAGAAAAATTTCTGGGCTACATTACTTTGGATGCACCATAAACTGTGCTGTATAGCTGGTGTGGAACATAGGCTGAATTTGTACTGACCCCGGAATAGTCACTGGAACTTACTGTCTTTAATTAAATCGCCTATCAGTTTGCTTGGCCTTATAGGAGTTAAAGTTAGACTGCCTAGCTTTAGATTCCATCTCGGCAATGGATTAACTGTGACCTTGGCAAGATTCCTTAACTTCGCAGTAAAATGGTGATGGTACGGTCGTGAGAATTAATGGGCATGATCAACGGAAAGCATTAGCACAGTGTCTGGCACATTGCACCCCACAACTGTTAAGTGTGGGTATTTTTCTGCTGAAGGTGGTGTTTGGTAATGATCAGCCATGTGAATGATGGTTATCAGTGTAATATGCATCAGTGTAATAATATCAGTGTAATAACCATCATCCCCACTGTCTTCAGTGTTTTTTGACTTTTTATTAGAATTCAAACCTCCTACATAACTTATGCATTTGCTCTGGAAAGTGTAGTGCTACATTCTTCTTTAATGATTATAATTCAGCCCTTGTCTCGTGACTACAGAAAGATAACCAGAGATTTCCTTGTCACCAAACCCAGCCAGTGCCTCCTTGAAGCATTCACCTTTTCCTTGAAATACTTCCCTTTGGCTTTAGTGACACTATGAATGCTGTTTGGGTTCTCCTGCCTTTCTGATTTCTTCTCACCTCAGACTCTTGTTTTATTCTCTCAATGCCCGTTTCATCGTGTGCAGGAACCTGTTCTCAGGTTGGGTTTTCTTGGTGTATTCTGTCCTTGGCGTTGCTGTTTACTCTTACGTACTAGTGGTAGCCTCTAGCACAGCAGATTTTAGCCACAGTAAACTCCTGAGCTGCGTGCCATTCTTACCTCAGCACCCTCACCTCTACTTTTCTGAGACTAAACAAGTTATCTCCTTCCTTCCCCAACACACACGCACTTAGTCCCTGATCACCTTGGTGTTACGTATTGGTAATTACAGCTCTGGAAGCGTTAGGTAGTTTCAAAGACATTTTTTGGTATTTTAATAGTTGCATAAGTGGTAAGTCATAAAGTAACCTTAGCAAAATTA